AGTTCACAGGCCCAGGTGCCATTGGAGGCTGGGAGAAAGAGGAGACCAGTAAGGACCTGAACGAATGTCTTCCCGGAAGAGGAGACTCTGATCCTTGGGCTCCTTGAATGGCAGGAAGATATGGCTCAGAGGGAGGTTGCAGGGAGGATGAGTGCTTCCTAGAGGATCTTGGTTCTGACACGCCAAGAAGACGACTGTGTCGTTGAGCAAACTCAAGTACTTCATCCTTCTGGAACAGCAGCTTCAAGACAGCTGCTCCTCAACTGGGCAGGTCTTGGACCCAAAGTCCTGACGGCCTAGCTAGGTGTCCACAGTTCTTTCGAGGAGGAGAGAACTCATTTCCGGTGGTGCTTTTGTCACCATAAACCCTCTGAGGAACCTATCCAGAGATTCGCCCAAGGCGGCAAGAGGAAGAAAGTAGGGACACAAAATGAAAAGTTCACCTCCTCCTCTCTAGAGGGCTTTGGGCAATCCAATGGATAAATCTATCTTAGGCGTGGCATTTAAACCTAGGTCACTGGCCATAAAAATGGGACCTCTGTCCCATGACCAGTGTCAGTGACATATGCTGATGACTAATCTTATTGCCTTGGGGAGACTGAGATACTGATAAAGAAAAGCAAAACTTAGTTACATGTCAACACAATAAAGGAAATAAATCATGCTGATGATGCTAATTATAATGATGACAGTGACACTTTGCCTAGCTCTTGCAAAGAGGTTGAGAGTGAGAGGCTTAGGCTCATTGGTAAGAAGTTCATTTCTGGGAAAAGAAGTACTGGGGTGGATTTCTTAGCCTTACCTGGAATGCTGCATGTTCACCATGATCACTTTCCTTTTCCTCTTAGTAACATACTCTTCCCTGCCTCACCACAATTAGAAGAAGTCATGGGATGATGGTAAGCGATGCGCTCCAAACCCAGGCTTGGCCCATTCGAACGTCCTGCACCATTCTCCACACTCTCTTCTCCCATCTGTTGGTGGCATGCAGAGCATGCAGTAGGGGCTTCTGAGGCCCTGGGAAACGGTGGAGCCACAATATGGGAAGACCCTGGATCCCTGAATGACTGCTGGGAGCAGAGCACCACCTCCACCTCACCGCTGACCCTGCTGCCCATTGACAAGAGGGAGAAATAAACTACTATTCTGTCGAGCCACTGAAATTTGTTGTTGTTGTTATAACAACATAACTACATGGTAGATTGTTAAATTACCATGGTTAAAACATTACCTTTCTATCCAAATCTGCTTTTGTCCTTCAAATACCACCTCCAACGCCCTGCTCCCAGGAAGTCAGCCTGATTGTTCACTTTAGCCTCACCCTCCTTTTAATTCCCATGGTACTTGTTACCCACATTACACAATTCACCTCTTAGCATTTTCTTTTTTCAAAGCAGGACTTCCTAATGGATTGTAAGCTTCTCGAGGCAAGAATCATGTGTTAGTTTTTTGTATCTTCACAGTGCCTAATAATAAGGATAATACCTAACATATATATTGCTAATCTTAAATAATAAGATGCATAAAATATGATTACATCTAGAGTTTATTTGAGTGTTCGGATAGCCACCTAGGAGACCTCAACTCCAAATGAATGGGTTCAACATTCCACAGTGGGGAAGTTGAGGTGTCACTTAACACAGGGAGAGACAGAAAAATTTTAGCAGGATTGTAACATTTTCCATATTAAGAGAGTGTATATGCTGGGGTGATTTGATTGGTTACAGATTGCTGCATCCCAAGGAAGATGACTTTATTACTCTGTAGGAGGGGCAATGACCTGAGGGGGTTTTAACTCTGGTGCCCCTTCGTCTCAATTATTTGCAGGGGGAAAAAGACAGAAGTTGCAGCTGCATGCCATGTGACTCATGCTGCATAGTCACATTCCTCTCAAGACTCAGAACAATTTAAGTTCCAACAGCTTTAAGTTTGAATTATTTAGCTGGGTGTGGTGGCTCACACCTGTAATCTCAGCACTTTGGGAGACTAAGGTGGGTGGATTACCTGAGGCCAGGAGTTCAAGACCAGCCTGGCCAACATGGTGAAACCCCATCTCTACTAAAAATACAAAAATTAGCCAGGCTTTGTGGTGCACACCTGTAGTCCCAGCTATTTGGGAGGCTGAGGCAGGAGAATTGCTTGAACCCCAGAGACAGAGGTTGCAGTGAGCCAAGATCATACCACTGCACTCCAGTCTGGGCAACAGAGCAAGACTCCATCTCAAAAAAAAAAAAAAAGTTTGCATTATTTAATTTCACAAAATTCTGTCCCAGGACTCATTATATATAAAAAATATATATATAATTATATCATGTATAATGTTATACATGTAATATATATAATTACACCATACGATATATTATATGTGCATTTGCCTTCATGACAACTCTGTGAGATAAATGGCACTGTTATCTCCAACTTATAGATGAGGAAGTTGAAGCACAGAGAGGTTCAGCAACTTCCTCAAGGTCACACAGCTAGTAAATTTCATTTGTGTCTTCCCTGGTAGAGCTTGCTAGTGGCTCCAGCACAAGAAGCTGGGTCAGACTTAGAGAGCTGACTTCTCTGACACAGAAAAAAGCTAAGAGGACTTAAAACCAGATTCGACCCTCTCATTTGACAAATGTGAAAACTGAGACTCATAGAAGGCTGGTAGCTTGTCCCAACTCACCAAGCACAATAAGCCCAGAGACAGACCCACAACCTAGGGCTCTAAGCCCCCAGTCTGCAGCTCTGATGGTGCCAGGCTACTGTTTATATTATGTGGTCTCTTGCTTCCTGACATGTTCAGCAGATGGCAGTATCTTCAGAATGCCTCCAAATAAACATTACATTCACTTAGGGAATGCAATGTCTCTGGGTTATCTGTTAAGGGAGGAAGTGTTGTGGACCGCTGCAAGTTTTCCTCTCCATTCTTCTCTGTCCTTAGCATCCTTAGTGTAGGAAACAGCCTCTCTTCTGGGTGCCTCCCTACCACTGACACGGGCCAACTGCACTGGGGTGGGGTTGGATGTGAGGCGTGGGGAGACAGCAGTCCTGAAAATTTAAGGCAGCCAAGATTCAGAAAGGCACATCTGTGCCACTACAGAATTTCTCTATCAGGGTCCCGGAGGGACAGCCAGCTGGCAGGAAGGAGCTCTGGGAACTCTCTGTAAGCTGTGTTTACACTGAGAAGCACACTACTTTAACTAAGGCTCTGTATTCATTTGAAAGGTGTGTCCTGTCTCACGAAATTCTTGGCTTTCTGAGTAAAAAAATTAGATCTGAAGCTTCTTTGAAGCCTTCTAGAGCTAAGCACATCGTTGTGTCCAGAGTGCTTCTATCCAGTACAGTTAGTTTTAATGCCAAAATTCAGTAATTATCATTTGGCAATTGCATTGTTTACAACCCAATCACTTTCCTTACTCTTGGCCTTGTATCTCTGGTGAAACTAAGACTTTCTTCCACTGAACTCTTCCTGGAATTTTGATCTATTAATCCTGCTCCATTTACACAGGTATACTCTCACCTTCTCATTAGAAGAGGGCCTAGAGCCTTGACATCTTCTATCAAATGGAAGGAAGCTTAATTTTGCACCTTTCATTTCAGGCATTGGTAATTCTTTGTTCTTCTGATTTTCAAGACTGCCTGAGAAGATGTCATTCCTACAGCTGAAAAGAAGGAGTTTGGATTCAATGCTGTTTCTACCACATTGGCAAGGAATATCCATGAACTCTCTTGCAGGCAGATGGAAATTTCCAGAAAGAAACCACTTCTCCCCTTTCTTCTCTTCCAACGTCCTCTTCAGGAGCCTGTAATTGGGTTCTGCCAGCATACTCTGATGGGCTAACAAAGGGTCAGATATCTGCAGTAGAAACAAAAGGCTCTTTTTCTACATGTCTATACCTCCTGGAGAGTCTTTGGTTAAAATTCTATTGGCCCTCCTCCGATCAAAGGCAAGAATGATCCCCTCCCTGTCCAAGACTAAAATGAACAAGTGAGGAGATAGATTTTACTCAGCCTGTTGCAATAGGGAGAACACTCCAGATATGATCAGTGCCTTGGTAGCATAGTTTTGCCTTTTACAGGGAGGAAGGTGGGATGATTGACAGCTGGGATTGTTTTGCAATCAGAAGTTTCAGTCAGTCAGGTGAACAGAAAATATTCCCTGTGTCTAACTAGTTTGGGGTGGGGGGAGAGTCCTAATTTCAACTAATCACTCGATATCATGAGCGGGAATTTGGAAGGTTTGGCTTTATTAACAGGCTCAGAAAAAAGGGGAAAGGTCTCTGGCCTTGTCACAGACAAACAAAGGGGTTATCTGCAAGCGTTTTATCTGTCACATGGGTGGTTCTTTACAGTGTGCGGTTCCAGAAACACAAACAGATAAGACGGTTTCTTAAGCCCCGCTGTTTTCCAGGAACTCAGGGCTCAGGGAAAGTTCAAGTTCACCTTCCTGGGTGTTTCATCAGGAAGGTGAAGCAAAGATGGGTACTTCTTTGTACACTTCTGGAAGCAAAGATGTGTACTTCTCACTGTTGGCTAAATGCCTTTTGAACAAGGAAATTAGTCGTTATTTAGAACGAAAGAGAGGAAGACCCCAGGAGAGAAGGCGCTGTGGATCGCGCCAGTTAGTAACGCATCACAGTTCCCGGGCGTCACACTACAAGTCCCAGGGTGCAACGCTCTCTTTCTTGCCTACTGCCGGCGGGAATCAGGAGCCTCGGGGCCTGACGGGAACGACCGTGGCTAATAGAAAAGTAATTTGAGCGGGTCTTCATTTTTTCGGAAAAGTATTTCGAAAGCTCTTCAAGCAAGGCGCGGACACATAATCTAGGAAATGATAAAAAAATCAATGATAACGTTACTTCCACGGAGGCCAGACCAAGCTCCTCCCGAGAAAGGTATTTAACTGAAGCCAGAGGTCCCGCTTAATTTTCCCATGAGTCTTCTTTCCGGCCGTGCCTTCCGTCATTGCTGTTGCGTCTTCTCATTGGCAGGTTGACGGGTTGCGGCGCCTGCGCGCTGCATTCCTTTGAGGGTCGTGGGCAGACGCCATTTTGGCCCCAGCGGTGCTTCTAGGAAGTAGATCGCCGGCTCGCATGCCTGCCCGCCTGCCGGGTACGGTCTTTTCTGCCGGGACTTCCCGGTCAGATTATTCGCCGCTGCCGCTGCTGCTTTCTTACCCTCCGCACCCGTTAAGTTCTTCGGTCTGGCGGGAGCCTCTGAACACTGAGCCACGCCATCCGGTGTCACACCGCCTGGAAGGAGGTGACGGGGGCGGCGCGGGGCGCGGACACTCCCCGCTGAGAGTCCGCCTGCCATGGACTCGGAATATTACAGCGGCGACCAGTCAGGTGGGGCAGGGACCTGGAGGACCGGGCTGGGGGGCGGAGCAGTTGTTCGGCAGGGCTCGGCCTGGCACCCCGCGGATGGGGGCAAGGAGGTCCCCGAAACCTTCCCTCCCGCGACTGGTCCAAGGTGCACAGCCGGCGTAGGACAGGAGCCCTCCGACCAGCTGCGAGCCTCGAAGCTAGAACCTTGGAGAGGGGATTCTAGAGGGAAAGCTTTCTTCTGAATCGGCGAAGGTTTTTGCTGAAATTGGGAAGTACTTTCATAGATCAAGCTCCTATTGTGTGCAAAGTGCTAGGGAAGGAGAGGTTTCTCCTGTTAAGGGAGATCTCAGTGTTTGAGTAGTTGGAGAATCCAAGGGGCGATGGGGCGGGGGATCCTTCCTAGACTTTTCACTCCTAGTTAGGGGTGGTTTAATCTTGCCTGCAATACAGAACATAATAAGTGCAGGACCGATGTTTCAGTTGCATTCAGAGTAACGAGTGCACTTCTGGCACTTAATGGTGATTTTTGTGCCTTTCCTCCACCTCGAGATCTTTCCTCTTCTCACCGAAGTTTGGTCTCGTTTCTTTACTGTTTGATGATTCTGTAAACTTTGTGGGCCCCACTCTGCTGGCACGGTGCTCAGCACCTGAGATTAAAGATAAGTGAGGCAGAACCGACTGAGGGGAACACGTTGCATTTGCTCTTCTTTTGTGTACTAGCTCTATTGGGGCGTTCTGTCTCAAAAGTTCTTAAATACGCCATAAATGTATGCACCCGCTGTACCCAGAGAAACTGAAAGTAAAAAAAATTTAAATGTTTAAATAATTATTTAAGCGTTAAGCTGTTTACCGTTTTTGAGTTCGTTGCCTTTCCTTACATATGACAGTGAATTGTAATGACTACAAAGGGCTTTCCAAACATGCACTGCTGTCCGTTTGGCTTAAAAACACTTTTCTGAGCCAGGCGCGATGGCTCATGCCTGTAATACCAGCACCTTGGGAGGCGTAGGTGGCTGATGGCTTGAGCCCAGGAGTTTGAGACCAGCCTGGGCAACATAGTGAGACTCCTCCCTATGCAAAAATTAGCCGAGTGTGGTGGCGCACACCTGTAGTCCCAGCTATTCTGGAGGCTGAGGTGGAAGGATCCTTTGAGCCCTGAGCTCCGGAGGTGGAGGTTGCAGTGAGCCCAGATTGCCCCACTGCACTCCAGCCTGGGCGACAGAATAACACTCTGTCAAAAACAAAAAACACTTTCCTGATATTTTCAAAATAGGCTTTTGCCATTCATTTGTGTTTTTAAGTTACTTTTTAAAAAGTAGGCTGGGCATGGTGGCTCACGCCTGTAATCCTAGCACTTTGGGAAGCCAAGGCGAGTGGATCACCTGAGTTCAGGAGTTCAAGACCAGCCAACATGGTGAAACCCTGCCTCTGCGAAAAATACAAAAATTAGCCAGGTGTGGTGTCCGGTGCCTGTAATCCCAGCTACTCGGGAAACCGAGGCAGGAGAATCACTTTAACCCAGGGGGCAAAAGTTGCAGTGAGCTGAGATTGCACCATTGCACTCCAGCCTGGGCAAAAAGTGAAGCTCTATCTCAAAAAAAAAAAAAAAAAAAAGGTATTATATTTAATACATGTACATAGGTTAATTACTAAAAGAGGTAACAGAAAATATAGCAGTTCCCTGACTTGTCCCCTCCATCTGCTTCACAGTCTTTTAGCTGTTTGGGGTGTTTACCTGTGTGTTCCTATTTCATGCAATCTCTTGCATCATTTTCAGGCATTCTCTAATGATTTTCTGTTATGCTAGGACAGTATTGTAGCCTATGTGCCTCCTTCTTCTCTTCTGTCCTCCACTGTTGCAGCATAATTGTTTGTTAAACTTCAAAGCTGTTATTTTTATCACGACCATATATATATTCTTCTTAGCTAAGTAGATGAGCTCATTAGTATGATAGTATGATAGTGATTCCCCTTAATTTTTTTGTTCTTTCCCCACTCTGGCTGCCTAAAGAAAAATGAGATTCCATTCTTATAGGACGTTTTGGTTTTTCTGTAGTTGACGACATTTTTTAAAACTTGATTATTTTTATAAACCTGTAAGTCTTCCTATCTTCTGAACCCTAACTTCCTCTCAATATAATTTTACTCTGTATTTTTAAAGTATTGGGGCTGGGCATAATCCCAGCACTTAGGAGGTAAAGGCAGGAGGATTGCTTGAGGCCAGGAGTTTGAGACCAGCCTGGGAAACATACCAAGACCCCATCTCTACAAAAATAAAAAAGAAAGTTAGGTAACAGTTCATATTTACCATTTTATATATGCTTTTCTTGAATGAATTTTCACTACATTTGCACTGGAGTTCCTTGTGTTCATTCATAAACAAATACTTACTGTCTATCAGGTACTAGGCAGTGTTCTGGGCTCCAGAGATTGAGCAGTGAACCAAAATCCCTGTTCTTGGGGCACTTTCATTCAAGTGAAGAAGACCCACGTTAAACACAGTAATTTCAGGTAGTGTATTAGAAGGTGGGAAATGCCACGGAGAGACAGACAGACTCAATTTTAACATGAAGTTGAAATAAATTGTTGACTTGGTCTTTAGTGTTGTTTCTGAAGCTACAAATTGCTTTATGGTGTAGTTTTGCTGCCATATATTTCACAGTGCATGTTATGATTGTTGGTGTTTGTACGAGTATTATGTTATTCAAAATTTTAGCATAATTAGTTATGCTTCCTCACTGGTAACTTGTGCACTTATATTCTTGATTCAGTGTATTCATTTCACTGTAGATGTCATTCATCTTACACCATAAGTGGTTTTTTGTTTTGTTTTTAAGCAGATGATGGTGGTGCTACCCCAGTACAGGATGAACGGGATTCAGGGTCAGACGGTGAGGATGATGTAAATGAGCAACACTCCGGATCAGACACTGGAAGTGTAGAACGTCATTCAGAGGTATTGGCTAACCCACATCTTTGGGAGGGCTTTTCCCTTGTGTTCTGTGAGACCTGTTATGTATAGAATATATATAGAATATATAGAATCCCTGTGACAGTTTAGGCTTTAATCTCTGAGAGTAAAGGAGTATAAGTTAATAGAAAACTGCTTGAAAAATAAATAGTGATGGTCTGGTTACTGTTGAAATCACAGTGAAGTAACTTCTGAGTGGGTCACATTTCAAATGTTAGGCAGTTTTCAGCTGTGCATATTGATTGAGAAAATGGACCAGACCTTCGATATTTGACCAAGTTTCCCTATTCCGCAAATAATGTTGTAGTGGGGCAATGAGCATTTGCAGTTTGAAGAAATACCAGTTGAAATAGAAAGTTATTGGAGTTATTACCTGTCAGAATTTATGTCAGCATTTGCCCTGCTTCTTTTGAACTGTTACGGTGTATATAATGTATGTAATAATGCTTTTTTTTGTTTGTTTTCTTTTCTTCTTTTTTTTTTTTTTTTTTTTGAGACAAGTTCTGGCTCTGTAGCACACTCTGGAGTACAGTGGTGAGATCTTGGCTCACTGCAGCCTCCACCTCCTGGGCTCAAGCCATTCTCCCACCTTGTAGCCTCCCAAGTAGCTGGGACCACAGGCTCCGGCCACCACGTCCAGCTATTTTTTGGTTTTTTATTTTTTTGGTAGAGACAAAGTTTCACCATATTGGCCAGGCTGGTCTCAAACTCCTGACCTCAAGTAATCCTCTCACACCTCAGCCTCTCAAAGTGCTAGGATTACAGGGGTGAGCCACCATGCCCAGCCCACAAATGTAATTTTAAGAGCTGTTTTTGTTTAATAATACAGGGTAGTATTGGGTTTTGTGTACATTTTAACATATTTTGCCTAATACATAAATATTTCAATGCTTTATTTGCTTTTCTGGTTATATACCATGTTAACAAGACAAAATTGGGAAAATTTTAAATAAATGTCACTATAACTCTTTGGTAGACACACACTGAAACAAATAGGAATGATAAAGATGGAAAGATTTAAGAACTTTCTATGCCCTATAGTTTTCTTGATTACACGTGTGCAGAAAATTGTCCAATTTTTAGTAGGTGTGGTTAGAGATTGTATTATTGACTCTATCCTTTGACAGCAGCATTAGTATACATTCAGCAAGTGTTTATTGAGTGCCTAATATGTGTCAGACTCTTTTTGCAGGTGCTTTGGACTTATCAGTGACTAGAAGTTAAAATCTTTCTCTTCTTAGGTTGTTTTTCCAGTAGGGAGAGAAAGACATTAAGCAATAATTTTTTTTTTTTTTTTTTTTTTTAATTTTTGCTAGAAGGTAACATACTGTGAAGAAAACAGATAATTAGAATAGAGCAAAGGATGGAGGGCAGACTTTGGTGTTAAATAGGGACCATATAGACCTTTTATTAAGAAATTGGCATTTGAACCAGGGTGTGAAGGGAGGCTAAGGAATGGCCATGTGAATATGGACGTTTAGGGGAAGAACATTCCTGCCCAGGACCCCAAGGTGAAAGTGTGGTTGGTGTCTTCAAGGAGCCAGTGTAACTGAAGTGGGGTCCGTAAGGGGTAGGGGAGGTCAGAGAAACTAAATGCAGGTATGGAAAAGGCTCATCTTTTATATATTTTGATGTCACTCAGGCTTTTTCTATGCTTTTAAACATTCAGAGTAAATTCCAATATTTTAATTAATGATAGTTGGGAATTACTTGATAATGTATACATTGTTACAGTCAGTGCATTTAGTGTGTGATATTTTAAGTGTCCACTTTGGAAACAGCATTCAGAGATTAACCACTGTTAATATAGAGCCTAGTAGGATAGTCATCTCATGGCCTCATGCTACAGTTGCAAATGCAGGTTACCTTAAGCATCTTTATTTTTTTTTAAATAATACAGATTCTGAATAAATAAGTGCCTGTTTTTGAAAATTTAGAAATCACAGACTGTCCCAGACTTATAATAGTTTGACTTAACAATTTTCAATTCTGTGATGTTGCAAGTGCTGATGGCATACTTTGAGTACCCATACAACCTTTCTGTTTTTCACAGTATTCAATAAATTACATGAGATACTCAACATTCTAGTATAAAATACGTTTTGTGTTAATTGGTTTTGGCCAACTGTAGACCTCTGTAAGTGTTTGGAGCACATTTAAGGTAGGCTTAGGCTAAGCTGTGATGTTTGGTACATTAGATGGATGAAGTGCAGTTTTGACTTCATGATATTTTCAACTTACCAGGGGTTTCTCAGGCTGTAACCGCATAATAAGTTGAGGCATTTCTGTATCTGTAAAGTTTAAAGAATAAAACCAACATACTCCAACTACAGAAATGACTGTGAGCCCTTTTCACATTATTTCTCCCGCATTTTCATTCTGTCCCATGTATATGACGTGTGTATTTTTTTATTTTACCTTTACTTGAGATTTTACTATATATATTTTGTGCCTATGTGTTTATCTCTTCATTTAAGATTATACTTTAAGTGTTTCCCATGTCATTAAAGATTCTTGATAAGCATAATTTTTAATGGTTTCACAATATGGATGCAATGTCACTTATTCAGCAGTTTTCTAACTTGTCATTTATACTGTTTAGCTCTTGTATTAAGGAACTGAGGCTACCCTGACCATTTTTATACATAAACATTTGATCATTTTTTATTGTTTCCTTAGAAAGCTGCCAGGAGAATTAACCAGATCAAAGAGACTCATTTTAAGGCTCTTCGTAGATATTTCTCTCCAGGAAGGTTATCTTAATTTGCTAAACCACTAGTACTTCGAGAGTGCCAGCTGTATTCTATAAGTGTTGAGTTCTGTATTAATATTCTTTTGCCTATTTAAAATGGCTTTTAAGAAGAAATTTTGATGTTTTCTCATTAAAAAAATTTTTTTAGAAGTAATGGGATATTAAAAGAGTACAGTTGTATTAAATGGAGCAGCGTGAATTACAGGTACAAAGCCTAAAAGATGCTAGTTTCCTGTTGAGGCTGTAACAACTTGACACAATTGGTGGCTTAAAACAACACAAATTTATTGTAATTGTGGAGGTCAAGTCCAAAATGGATCTCACTGGACTAAAATCAAGGCGTCACAGGGCTGTGTTCTTCTCTGGGGGAAGATACATTTCCTTGCTTTCTCCAGTTTGTAGTGGCTACCTGCATTTCTTGGCATTCCTTTCTCCATCCTCAAACTCGGCAGCATAGCGTCTTCACAACTCATTTTCTGACCTCTTGTTTCTGTCATCACATTTCTGCCTCTTACTCTGACCTTCCTGCATGCCCCCTGTAAGAACCTTTGTAATTATAATTAGGGCTACCTGGATAATCCAGGGTAATGTCCCTATTTCAAGGTCCTTACCTTGATTATATCTTCATAGTCCCTTTGCATGTAAAGTGACATATTCACAGGTTCCAAGGGTTAGAACATGGACATATTTGGGGGGGTTATTATTTTGCCTACCATGAGATGGTACTCACAGCATAATTTTCCCAATAATGATGCTTTAAGAAAAAATCCCCTTCTGTATTTTAGAATTTAGGCTAGTATTTTTTTTTTTAATTCATTTCACCTATAGTATTAATACACACAAAACACACACACACACACAGACACACACCCACACACACACACACACACACACAGAGTCTTTAAGATAGTGGTCAGTGTAGGAAATACTGATAAGATTTTAAAGACCAGTAATTTTTGCAGGTTTCTTAACCACTTTATTATAAAGCTTCTTTAGTTATTTAAAAAAAAAACATATTTTTTCTTAAAATAATTGTATATGTCTATAAATAATCTCTGACAGATGACAGAACAAGTCTCTTCTCAGACTGCCTGAAGAAAACAAGAGTTTACTGTTAACACATGTATGTAATGGGCTGTAAATCTTTCTGTCTAGGGAGTTTGTTCTGTCATTGATGGGCCTGCCTAATGGCCATTTCTAATAACATCTCTGTTTCTTCTTATGTGGATGGCTTTATTTTTTTCCTCCAAGCTTTGAAAAATACTCAGTAATCAAGATAAATGATATTTTAAAACTCTAATGCAAAAAAATACGATGAACAAAATATCAAAATCTTAAAAGTTAGGATCACTAACCATGCTGTGTTGGTCTATATTTGAGCCAGAGGGAAAAGGAAAAGCCAGTACCAGTTAATTGTGTCTTCAAATTTTAAATATTCAGTTCATCATGGATTTTTTGCATCAACTTTGATCTTTAAAAAGGTCACCTGTCTTGGGCCAGGCCTGGTAGCTCACTCCTACAATCCCAGCACTTTGGGAGGCTGAGGTGGGCAGATCACCTGAGGTCAGGAGTTTGAGACCAGCCTGGCCAACATAGTGAAACCCCATCTCTACTAAAAATACAAAAAAGTCGGGCGTGGTGGCAGGTGCCTGTAATCCCAGCTACACGGGAGGCTGAGGCAGGAGAATCACTTGTACCAGGGAGGCGGAGATTGCAGTGAGCTGAGACCGCAGGATTGCACTCCAGAATGGACAACAAGAGCAAAACTCTGTGTCAAAAGAAAAAAAGGTTACCTGTCTTTTAAAAAGCAGTTTTTCTTTTTCTTTCTTTCTTTTTTTTTTTTTTTTTGAGGCAGAATCTTACACTGTTGCCCAGGCTGGCATGTAGTGGCACTATCACAGCTCACTGTAACCTCCCAGGCTTAAGTGATCCTCCCACCTTAGCCTCCCATGTAGCAGGACCCAGGCATGCACCACTCTGCCCAGCTAATTTTTTTATTTATAATAGTGATGGGATTTTGCCATGTTGCCCAGGCTGATCTCAAATTCCTGGGATCAAGGCACCCGCCCACCTTGCCCTCCCAAAGTGCTGGGACTATAGATATGAGCCACCATGGCTGGCCCGAAAAAGGGCTCCATTGAGATAGATTTACATGCTATACAATTTACCCACTTAAAGTGTGCAATTCAGTGATCTTTAGTATTTTCTGGTAGTCCAACTATCACCACAGTCG